AGCTACTATTTTCTATTTTAGTTAGGTATTATAAAAGCCTGCTGCTTTGTCTGGCTTACTCTGCCAATCATTTCTGCAACATTTCTTCTAAGATATGTGGCTATTATCCTATGCCCCTTAAAATTTAAACCCCTTGTTTCCTCCCCTGCAAAGCTATTCCCTATCCCCATGTGCTGAGTTACTTAGTCCTTCCCTTGATATTGCACATGCTTCTATTGAACAACTTTCACACCAAATTTGAATTTATGTTTGAATATCTGCCTCTTATAAGAAGTGTGAATCATGCTTATTTCATATTTTGACTGATGTGGTTTGGCTATGACCCCACCCAAATCGCACCTTAAATAGTAATCATTCCCACCTGTCAAGAGCAGGACCAGCTGGGGATAATTGAATCATGGGGTGGTTGCCCCCATACTGTTCTCATAGTAGCGAATAAGTTTCATGAGAGCTAATGATTTTATAAAGGGGAGTTCCCCTACAGAAGCTCTCTCTTGTCTGCTGACAGGTAAGGCATGACTTAGCTCCTCACTTGCTTTCTGTCATGATTGTGAGGCCTCCTTAGTCCTGTGGATCTGTGAGTCCATTAAACCTCTTTTTTTAAAATAAATTACTTAGTCTTGGGTATGTCTTCTTAGCTGCATGAGAAGAGATTAATACATTGACCTTCTGTAGAGGCTCTAATATATATTAGGTACTCAATGTTTTTGTTTTTATTTTTATTGAATATATAACTTCTGACTGGAACTGAAACAACAAGTTTTGTCTTTGGTAGTATTGTCAGAGGCATGTGAACGAGAACAATTCCATCTTAAACAGGAGCTGGGTAAAATGAGGCTGAAACTCATTTTGCTGAATTCCCAGATGTTTAAGGTATTTAAGTCACAGGATGAGATAGGAGGCAAGCACAAAATACAGCTCCTAAAGACCTTGCTGATAAAACAGTTTACAGTAAAGAAGCCAGCCACAACCCACCAAAACCAAGATGGTGACGAGAGTCACCTCCGGCCCTCCCACTACCACCCTTCCATTAGCACCGCCAATAGGGTCTAAAAAGGAAAGTCATAAATCATCCATCCATTATTTAACATATAATCAAAAAATAACCATAAAAATGGGCAACCAGCAGCTCTTGGGGCTGTTCTATCTATGGAGTAGCCATTCTTTATTCCTCTACTTTCTTAATAAACTGGGTTTCACTTCACTCTGTGGACTTGCCCTGAATTCTTTCTTGCGTGAGATCCAAGAGCCCTCTTGGGTCCGCATTGGGACCCTTTCCTGTAACAGTATGCTTTGCTGGCGTCTTTCCAAACAGCTTCCCAGCCACCTTATCCCTTATTCAGGCATCAGCACTCCATTTCTTCCATCCATTTCAAGATCTCTGTCACAGGTTCTGTCTTCCTGCCTGATTGTTACTGATACACAAGAATAAACATTTTACCTAACTCTTAGGGAATCGTTGTGGAACTAAAATGAGGTAATGTTTTATCTAATACAAGCCAGGCATATGGTAAGCTCTCCATATGTACTATTTCATATTAAGTATAAACTTTCAGTCGGCCGGGCGCGGTGGCTCACGCCTGTAATCCCAACACTTTGGGAGGCCGAGGTGGGTGGATCACGAGGTCAAGAGATCGAGACCATCCTGGTCAACATAGTGAAACCCCGTCTCTACTAAAAATACAAAATATCAGCTGGGCATGGTGGTGCGTGCCTGTAATCTCAGCTACTCAGGAGGCTGAGGCAGGAGAATTGCCTGAACCCAGGAGGCGGAGGTTGCGGTGAGCCGAGATCGCGCCATTGCACTCCAACCTGGGCAACAAGAGCGAAACTCCGTCTCAAAAACAAAACAAAACAAAACAAAAAAAAAAAACAACAAAAAAAAGTTCAGTCATAATTTTTATTATAATAACCATTTGAATTAATAGCTGATTTTAGAATAATTTTGAATTTGATAAAACACACTTTTAGTTGTTTTTGCATCTCCTAGGTAACAGTCCGTATCCAACCACTAAAAGGAAAATTCTACCCCAAAAGTCTACTCTGATTTTTTGAATTGTCGTGAAACCATCCATTACCTCAGAGTTATATCCAACCTTCAGTTTCTTGGGGGAGGATGTTCAGGGACTTGGTTTTTGATAAACGATTTGAATTCTGTTTCTGTGTATTGTTCTCTTAAAAATGGTGGAGGTGGCCCCCTTCTTGTGTTAAACCTCAGCAATTACAGCAACCTCAGCCCTTTAGTTAGTGGTGTTTCCTGTTGCATATGCCTTTACTGTGATTACAAGTCCAACACAAACTCATCCCCCTACCCCTACACACAATGTTAGCAGCCTATTTACATATTCATGTACAAAACATTTTGTTTTATAGAACCCACCTTCAAACTCATTATTATCTGAGTTTCAGAAACAGGATTAAAAAAAAAAAAAAAAAAACACACACTTAAAACCAACCAAAAATGCCTCAAGAATAAGCTTTGTCAGGAAATATCTCTATCCAAGAGAAGAAAAAAATCATGGACAGAGTTGTTTTTATAAGGTTGGAAACCTGTCAGTGCCGGAGATGGTATTGGATAAAGTAGTCCTGTCCCCTCCGTTTTACTTTCTTGTGAAGTTGAGAAAAACACTGGACCAGGCCCACAGAAGACATGAGTAAAATGCACTTGGAATCTGAAGGTCAGAAATGATGATCTGATGCAACTGAACTTGATGAACCTTTGGGAGCCATCATCTCTGCAAATCCGCTACGTTGTGCACAATCTCTCTGTGGGTTCCCCTTATCTTTCCTTCCTCTCTGTGGTTTCCCCTGAGTCTTTCTCAGACCCACACAGCCATCATCTGTTTTCATAGCTTTTCTGTCTTCCATTTATTAAAACATATTCTCTAAAACTACCATCTGGAAAGAATTTAGATATGCCAGTACCACAGAAATGATACCCTCAGGTGCATTTACGTTTGAACAAGGGACAATGATGGTAGGATTTCAGCTGTAGCAACTTAGCTATAGGGGAACATCTTAGAACAAGAGAGCTGTCTACAACCCACCAAATCATTCTTCATAATTTACTACTTCCTACCACATGTGATTCCTGGAGCAATAGTACAAATGGAGACCTATATAACATATGTTAAATATTTACTTTTTTAAAACAAAGCAAAACAAAATAAACATCAAATTATATTTGATCCTCCTATGTTGAAAAATATTCCTTCATAGGAACCTGGAAGAATATATTTGAATTTAGAATTATTTAACTTTTCAGTGTTCTCTACCAGGAGTACGGCATCCTGAAAATCAAGCTGAGAGTCTGAACATTAAACTCCATCTCTACCTGTTGCAAACAGTTACCCTACGATCATCCCTTCCCCAAGGGTGAGTACAATGACCATTTCCTCAGAAGCAAGACTTAGTGAAGAGATCCATACAGTCTGGAAACGAGGCTGGGATTGTTTTGGCTAAAAATCCCAAGGTCGCAGATACGTGGAGCATAATCCAGATGAGGAATACTGGCTCTAATCGAGCACATCTGTACAGCTTTATGGACATCTACAACTTGCCATGCCAGAGAAGGGTTGCAAAGGTGCTCTCTAAAGTCCAGGTCCAGGACCAGGGCTCCTCTTTCCTCAGCCTAATGTGCTATGGCTAATCAAAGCCTGCTAGTATAGTCTGTGTAGAGAGCAAAGTTCATGCAAAGCTAAGAGAAGTGAAGATATAATTATCATTTTGAGAGTTAAAAGAGTAAGTTATGCCAAACTTCAAAGAAATATTTATGTGATAAGAAAGTATTTTCCATCTACCTAGCCTAAGTCTTACCTACGTTTTAGAAGAGTGAGACCAAAAAGGCTGGGGGAAGAATTCAAGATTCCCTCAAAGACTCTATTGGGCAATTTAGAAGCAACACTTACTGCCAGAGAGGGAGAAAAATGTGTTAGCAGTTGTCAGGGAAGGTGGCACTTCTGCAACAGATGGGCTGACTGATTTTTTTTTTAAATGATGATTTTATGCCTTTGGCAGAAGTTTTCAATGTAATTTAGGAAAGGGGAAAAACAACATAAAGGCAATTGATGCTATCCTTTAAGAATGGAGAAAGAATATCAAAAATTAGAGTTGTTAGTTATCCTAGGTTGAAAACTTTAAATATTTGTGAGCATTTTATAAAAAGACTTGCCATAGAAATTGGCAGAAATGAAACCAGGTTTCAAATCCAAGTGGTATTGTATGAGCTGCAGGGCATAAAATTTTCTAAAAAGCAAGAGTTAATTAAGTGAAACCAATTTCTTCTGTTAGCTCCCTCACTTTTCTCCTATTTTACTATTTTAACTGCCTGCTCGTGGTTTTCCCTGTTTCCTAAGTCTGCATTGTCCTATTCATTCTTTCAAGAAATTTTCTAACAGTGAATCTGAATATGTATAATCTTGAAGCACTTTCAACTGGTCCTCATCAGTTGTATTTGAATTTCATACTCTTTAAAGCAACTCCTAATATGACCCCCAGGATCTGGTCTTGATCAACTTTTCTAGCTTTATTTTCTGACTCATTCTTCCCTAAATAATCCACTGAAAAATTTTCTCTACTTTGACATTCTCTTTTAAGCTTCTTCACCTCTACATATTCTATTCCTTCTACTTGAGAATCACTTTTTCCTGCCATACTTGTCCTTGATGAACTAATATTTAATTTTCATTTGAAAAAAATAACTTTCTCTGAGACATTTTACAGCTCACCAATGGAGGGTTGCTTTTATCTTCCTCTGAGTTTTCTCATACTTTGGGCTCATTTCCTAGTAGGACAGACACATTCCCTGCAGGGCTGGGAGCTTGCCCTCCAGGTTTTCCTCTAAGTGAAACCCCTACCTCCCTTTCATTTTCAAAGGACTGCTGATATTACATACAATGGAAACAAAGCAACATGTAGCAGAAGTCATTTTCTTGTCCCTTTTTTTCAGAGTGAGCAATACCTCATGTATATATTTGTTGTTTGTTTTTCTTGTTTTTCAGAAGCTCTTCAACACAGCTACCGTTTATGTTGTATGTTCAACCTTAAACCAATTACTGGTAAGTGTAATGGAATTAATACACTTTTTTTTTTTTCACTTGTCTTCCAGGCAGGAGTGCAGTGGCATGATCTAGGCTCACTGCAACCTCCGCCTCCCAGGTTCAAGCGATTCTCCTGCTTTCGCCTCCCGAGTAGCTGGGATTACAGGCACCCCCCACTATGCCTGGCTAATTTTTGTATTTTTAGTAGAGAAAAGGTTTCACCATGTTGGCCAGGCGGGTTAAATTCTGACCTCAGGTGATCCACCCACCTTGGCTTCTCAAAGTACTGGAATCACAGGCGTGAGCCACGGCACCCAGCCTATGCTTAAGAACTTGGGATAGGCTGGGTACAGTGGCTCACACCTGTAATCTCAGTACGTTGGGAGGCCAAGGTCAGAGGATTACTTGAGCCCAGGAGTTTGAAACCAGCCTGTGTGGCACAGTGAGACCTCATTCTACAAATAATAATAGTAATAATAAAAAAGAAAGCCACATTTGGTGGCACATACAGCTTACTTGGGATGCTGAGGTGGAAGGATTGATTGAGCCCAGGCGATCAGGGTTGCAGTTAACTGTGACTGCACCATTGTACTCCAGCCTGGGTAATACAGTGAGACCTGGTCTCAAAACAAAACAAAACAAAACAAAACAAACAAACAAACAAAAACTTAGAATAGTGTTAGCTTCCCTGAGGCATGGGTAGTTGAATACAAGTTAAATTCTTTTAATAAAGTCGGATAGAAAAATGAATACTAGGATTGGCAACCAATGCTGACTGCTCTAGAAGTGAAGTGTCTTTATTAAAATGGGATTCATGAGGTTTTCCTGATGAATTTGTCTTCTTAGATGTGGTCTGAAGTCTGAAACATCATCTCTTTTTTTTCTCTGCAACATTTGAATCTTGAGACCGTGCTTTGGAGCTGCTGGATTTAATCTCTCATGATTATTCTTAATGAATAAATTTCAAAATCTTTGCTTCCTGCTCCTCTACAATGATAAAAGGCAAAAGAAGTATCATTCAACCTAGAGAAAAAACATACATTTCATTAAGTTGGAAACTAAAACTGCATATTAACAATGTCAAAACTCCTTAATTTTAGAGAAATAAGTGAACAAAGGTGCTATCATGCTATGCAGAAATCTTAGGTGTGAATTTTCATAGAAGGTGAATTTGGGACTTGAGGGATCTCTGTTCTGCTTCTCGTATGACCATGATCAGTGGTACAAGTTAACAACAGACTACCACTGCATTGCATAGGCAAGACCACAAAGACCTTGGATTCTGAACAACCAGGGATATGTCTCATGCCATTATATTAAGAGTTATGGCCAAATGGGATTATGGATGAAAGCCAAAGACTATAAGAATATGCCTTGGTGAAAAAAAGAAACAAAAAACCTGCTAAAGTGTTGTGAAATAGAAAAAGGGCTACAGCTTTCATCTGTGCCCAGTTATTATTGCCATTGTTCATATGTGTTTACATGTGTTCTAATTATCCTCTCTTCACTAACTATGTTGGTAACTCAATTTAGTATGTAGCCCATAGCTTATAGAAGATCTGATAACATCTGGGTGGAATTATGATGGAATTAGAGTAAAAATATGCAACATATGGAGACTGTGGATTCCAAGACAAACAACATTTAAAGAACCCTGTGATATTCTCTGTGGATATAATAACCAGAGATGGCTTTGAATTGCATCCCTATTAGAAGGCAATAATTGTGTTTAGGTTTGATCATTTTAGATAGAAGCATCCTTGAAACTGTATGTAAGAAGATGGCAGCCAATGACACAAAGGACAGTGCATCTACATTACCACTTGAGAAAGGATTGTTGAGCTAGATAGCTGGGAGAGCTAAACAGCAGGTGCTGTTTTAGGCAAATTAGCACCTATGGTTAGCCAAGCTATACCCAATATCTCTTTCTTTGTGAACATGCCCTATCCACAGACCAATGCTTGTGAAATAAGTAGGGAGGTGTCCCACAGGCAGAGTTGGCCACTGATTATATCAGGATTAGGTGCTTTTGTTATTGAAAGGTAACCAAGCCATAGTTTTCATGATGAACAATGGCATGTTCAGTCATAAATGACTCTACTCAATAAGGTTAACAGTAGTTATATAAGCCAATCAGACTAGCTTCTTCTGTCATTTGGACTGAAAATTATGATAATTTTGAATAGACAGGAAGTAAGCATAAATACAAATGAAGGCACAAGGGAAAAATTCATTTGCCCACCTCACTCAGGGGATGGAGATTGTGTTGGAGATAGGATCAAGAATGGGCTGATAATCATGACTTCACTTACGTATTCTCCCTAATAAGTAAAAGCAAAGAAATGCAATGAGTTCATATTTTAATTGGACCAAATTTAGAAAAAGTTCTACAAATAACTCCCTGGATAAAAATGATGGCATCAAAATAGCTGCATGAAGTTGAATATATCACAATGCCCCAAAACTTTATTCTATACTTTAGCAAAAGACTACTTGGGATAAATGACTCAATTCAGAATAAGAGACAAAATATTGCTGAGATATAGACCCAACATTTATAAAGTACATGTATTTATGTATCTCTATTTATATGTTTATGTGCCTATATACACTGATTTTATTTAGCCAGTAGCCATGGAGAGAAAGCTACTTGCTTTCACAGCATGCTTCCCGGAGTTTCAGAGACTATTCACAGAGAAATTATGTCCTCTGACCTCTCTTCTTAGGGCTGTTTGGAAAGAGAACACACACATAAAGAAGAGTTCAAGTGAATGGATTTGAAGCCATACTATACAATTAGAGAACCTTAGATTTTGAATGAAATTTGAAGATACATTTCAAATGAATAATCTGAAGAGTGAATGAAAGAACTAATGAATCTAACAGAAACCTGACTGTCTACATGCTATGATTGCCTTGAATTGTTATTTACTTTTTATGTATATTAGTTATATGTTAGTTATATGACATTTGTACTATTCTGTTAGTATGTGTGCAATATCTTGTGTATAGGATGCAGATAAAAAGTTCTCAGTATATATTTATTAAATTTACACCCTCCAAAAAATGTCTGCCAAATAGGAGAAATGTATATCCATTTTGCTTTCACCAACCAACTAGTAAAGACTTGTTGAATGTTCCATGAGGGATAAAAGTGTAAGATAATATAGGATGAAATGTATACCAGACATAAACACTAAATGTATTCAGAAAAAAAATCTGTAAATTAAAAAAAAAGTCATCTGTACAGTAAGCATCTTTTAGAGAGTCATGATGTCCCATGGAGAGCTATGTTTGTTATTGATAGAGTCCTTCTAGGATAGACAAAGAATTGTGGTTTCACAAAATGAAATGTGTATTTCTAATTTCATTTACTTTGATATCTTTTTAATATTTACCTTCCTAAAACACTCTATGAAAGTGAAGACAGTTGAAAAATTGCTTATTCATCACACCACCGTTCATGAATTCCATATCACTATGTTGTTATTGTTTTAAGTCCCTCTGACTGTCTCCTTTCCATCTGAAACGTAGACACTGCTTCCTATTTTCTTTCCTATTGTAGCAGACCTCAACTCTCTGAGGTCAAGAACGTTTTATCATTGTTGTTCACACCATGTTCTCAGGGCCCACTGCATGGTGGCCCTCACACAGGGCACGATGATCACATCGTAGAAGGCCTGTGCTCCAGATTGGATTTCCCTCTTAAGCTCTAAACTTGCTGATGCACAGATCAATGCTCAGTGTAGATAGCTTCAGGCTCCTCTGTCAGGATTTCCAAAGTACAGATAAACAAACAAACAAACAAAAATAAATCATCTTCCACTCAGAATAAACCCAAACATCTTCCATCACTGCAAATATATTGATACTGCCTAAACAGCAGCCCACCATGTCAGAGTAAAACTGTGCAAGTAGAACTCCCAGTGGCCTCTCTGAACACCACAGAGTTTCCTAAAAAAAGACCTAGCACAATGAGCATTACTTAGATAGTCTATGTATTCAGATGATCTACCTTGGCTGATGTTAGTTGTTGCTTCCATTTTGTAATAGCCTTCTAGAATTTGTTGTTTTTGCATATTCTAGAATTTCTGTCTCTGTCTCTGCCTCTCTCTCTCTCTCTCTCCTCACAGCAGTCTGTTGCTACTTAATACAGTGCTTGTTGGCCTGAGATTGGACATTATTTAAAAGCAATTTAGAGAGTTTTCTCCATTTCAGGCAAGAAGACATGCACCATTTTTCTGATATGGCATGGGACATCGAAAAATAGTTTTGAACAAAATTTTGAATTTTTTGGCCCAAAGAAAGCAAATACCCACTGCAACAAATAAGATGTGTCACAGTAACTCATGATTTACAATCCCTTTCAGGACTGCCTGTTGCCCTTAGCAATCCCTAAAGCAAAACAAACAAAACAAATCCATTCAGCATATCTTCATGAAGCTGTCTGAGATGTGACAAAACTTTAAGAAACAGTTTTGTGATAATGGTTTTGCACTTTATTGGTACTTCTCCAGAGGAGGTGGTGAATGGCTGCTTTCAAATACATAGAGCTATCAAAGGCCAAAGTCAATAAAAACCTCCATAGAATAATTGGGGAGGGAAGAAACAGGAAAAAAAGAACATAAAAGGAATGAAAAGGAAAGTAGGACCTATAAATATAAAAGCCTAAGGAGTATATTTTGGGGAACAGATGATGCAAAACAAAATTGGGAATAGTTATTGGAGGGCCAAGGAAGGCAAATAAAACAATAAGATATATGATGCCTGTCCTCCTGCCTCAAGTCTAGCTCATCAGACAGTTTTTCATTCCATTTTGTATATATGAGTTTCATCTGACTACTGCCAAAGGAAAGTGCTTGGATTTTCTGACTTTTTTCACTGTCAAAAGAAATAATAGCCTGTTGAGATTCAAAGGCAACTAATATAACATCCTTGCCTTGAATGAAAGAAAATACAAATTGAGTTGTAGGTTAATAAATAAGGTATTTCTATTTTTCATGTTTTTCAAAATAATAACAACATGAATGAAAATTAATTACAAAAGATAGTATTATGCACCCAAGTAACGTGTCTAGAAACCAGAAGGCTAGAATTTGTTGACAAACTTTGTACTTAATTTTACTGCTCAAGATCCCATGTATTGTAAGTACACAATTAAAATAACTAATCTTCCATCTGTAGAAATACCTGAATGATAACCCACCAAAAATATCTCAGAGAATGCGGAAGGGCTGAGGACATGAGCTGACTTTGGCAGTTGTAGACTGTACAGCAGAAAAGTCATCTGTGCTGTTTAAATGCCCAAATAGCTGGGGGCACCGTCTGTCTGGGAGAATTACTCAAATAAAGTGCAGAGTCAGGTTATCAAATAAGCAAAGTCAAGATACTCATTTATGATTTTCAGGGCAATTTGGCTTAGTATAGAGAGACCAGAAGAAGAAGAAGATGCTAGCCAGGATGACTAGCCACCCAGGGACCTGACTGGGATACCAGGTTAAAGTCAAACCCTAAAAGCCTAGAATCACTGAAGGGTAGAAATATTTTACACAAATGCCAATGACAGTGTTTCTGACCTCTTCAAAGAGTCGGAGCAAATTAATCATGTGCCACAGAAAGGAGCACTGGGGATGGGAGGAGAGAAATGATTTAATAATCAGGAGAGATCAGGTGAGCTGGATAGCTGGGAGTAGAATTTTAAAAGGAATAGAAGTGGGTGATTTAATTCTTGTGTTTTTTCTGTGCTGTGACATCAACCAATTCTGTGACTTTGAACAAGTTCTGTAACCTTCTAGTATCCAGTATACTCATCACTAACGTAAGATGACTGGGCTAAATGTTTTCAAAGTGCTGCCCTACTCAAAGACTCTATTATTTTCTACTCATGATAGTGTTTGCAATTATATGGTGCTCTGCACCTCCAAAATGTATTTATGTGATAGTGTTTGTTCCTTCGAAAATTCCTGTGTGGTAGCTCATATAGAAAACACTATAGTTCATTTTAAAGATAAGAAAATGAAGGCCTAGAAAGGAAAGATGACTTTCTCAAGGTTGTTCAGCTAATTAGTATCAAAGCCTAGAAACATAGGCCTGCTGTACTTCTAACTACATCATCTTATTCCTTTCAGCAACAATTTTTTAAGATTTATATAAAGAAAACATTTTGTTGTGTGCATTTTCTTCAATTGCCTATATCAATGAAATTTCCTAAGAAAAATTTTTTAAAAGTCAGGACTGGAAAAAGACAAAGACTATACATGTGTATATTGAAAGAAAGTGTGAACAAATTTAAACAAGCAATTATTTAGCAAATTTATATCGAGGATGGAAAATGTGCAAAACCCTCTCCAAAGTGCTGTGAGCAATCCAGAGATTTTTTAAAAGGGAATGTAGTTGTCCAATTAGGACTCCTATGATCTAATAGAAATATCAGACACGTCCAAAGAAAATCCTGTTATAAAACATAAAATATAATGACTGTTTCACGAAATATGCAGGCTAAGTGCAGTGGCTTATGTCTGTAATCCAGCACTTTGGGAGGCCAAGGTGGGAAGATTCCTTGAGGCCAGGAGTTCAAGACCAGCCTAGGCGATATGGCAAAACCCTATTTCTACTAAAAATACAAAAATTAGCTGGGCGTGGTAGCACATGTCTATAATCCCCGCTGTTCAGAGACTGAGGCAGGAGAATCACTTGAGCCCAGGAGGCAGAGGTTGCAGTGAGCTGAGGTCGTGCCACTGCACTCCAATCTGTGCAACAAAGGGAGACCCTGTCTCAAAAAAATAGTAAATAAATAAATAAATATTTAAGAGCTATGTCAATATGCTGCTTAGAAATTTCAGAAAAAGATCAAATCAATTCCCTTCCAATAGGTCAGAGAAAATTTGAAAATTTGGTAGTTGAGTTTGGAAATAAAAGTGGATCACGCTGAGATCTTATCAAAAATTAGAAATTTGAAAAAGTAAGCAATATATGTTGGTAAAATGTAGAAAAGTAGAAATAAATTTAAAAAGGTTAGAAACCTTTGCAACTCATTGCAGAGTGGTAGCCACGAGATAGCATATCACATCACGATTTTCACCTCTTTGCTTACCTCCTTTTCTCTTTTTTCTTACCTTTAATCCTTAAGTTCTTCTTTCAGTGGACCCAGGGTAAGACTCTAAAAATCTGTGTTTAATGATCCAGAACATCACATAGAACAAAAATGTGAGAATAAGTATTTTAGTGAAATAAGGTGCACTCCAGTACAAAATAATTCCAAAGAATTATTATATGAATGCAAAATATTATTGGTTCATAGAACTAGGTAAATCCAATCAACTTAAGCATAATTTTTTTTTCAGCTGATAATGTTTAGGGAAATCTTAACAAAACTATTGCTGGTTTAGCCATGCATAAATAAGTTAACAAACATTTGTAAACCTAGTTGTAAACCAAAATATTGCATGAGAATAAATACATGAAGATGGCATCATATGATACACTAGTTTATAGTTATTCTTATGTCAGTGTGTGAGTACTTAAATTTTAAAGAAAACATTCAATTAAGTGGAAATGCTTGCAGTATCAGAATGCATTACTAGTATTAATACCTTCTTTTGTCACCAACATGTATTGAAAAGAACAGTGAATCAGAATCAACACTCTTATATTAAGATCCCCTGCCTGGAAAAACTTGAACATGTAAGCTGGAATGGGTCCTTTCACTTTCTGGGTCTCAGTCAAATGAGCAAGTTAGATGAGTCATAACTTGCAAAGTTGCAGACTACTGAGCAAGAGTCCAGAAAGATTATCTTTTTTAAAAACAATTTTTTTGAGATGGAATATATTTAAGGAAGATTCATATATCATCATTTACTTGTGGATTCTCAAGACATAATAGCATATTAAAAGCCCAAAAAAGTCCTTTAGTAAAGAAATTTGTCTAATTTCATCATAGCATTTTCCAAATGTAAGATATTTGAAATTTATTTTTTCATTAAATATGAACATCTCAATGACATAGTTTCTGTGGATCTACTTTTTGGAAATGCAAGGTTATCATTAGATCCTTAAAATTATAGGATTCTTATGTACAATACAGTTTTACTGATATGGTTTGGCTGTGTCCCTACCCAAATATCATCTTGAATTATAGTTCCCATAATATCCATATGTCATGGGAGGGGCCTGGCAGGAGGTTATTGAATCATGAGGGTGATTATCCCTATGCTGCTGTTCTTGTGATAGTAATTGAGTTCTCATGAGATCTGATGGTTTTATAATCGGCTTTTTCTCTTTTTGCTCAGTACTACTTCCTGTCACCATGTGGAGAAGGATGTGTTTGCTTCACCTTCTGCCATAATTGTAATTTTCCTGAGGCCTCCCCAACCCTGCAGAACTGTGAGTCAATTAAACCTCCTTCCTTTATAAATTACTCAATCTCGTATATGTCTTTATCAGGAGTGTGAAAATGGGCTAATACACTTACTAAAAGGACTGGACTAAAATTTGAGGCCCCATTTTTTATCTTTGCCCATGAATGTTACTATCCACTACCCAGAGATAGAGAGAACAGACAGAAACTACCAGGGAGCACTTTGAGACAGGGGACTCAAGAAGAAAAAAACAAGAAAGTATGACTTTCTGCTGTGGAAGAAAGGAAATGAAGTTTTGTTGATTTACGTGGTTTGGATTTGTGTCCCCACCCAAATTTCATGTTCAAATGTAATCCATAGTGTTGGAGGTTGAACCTAGTAGGAGGTAATTAAATCAAGTGTGTGATTTTTCACCGATGGTTTAGCGCCATCATTTTCGTGCTGTGCTCATGACAGCAAATTAGTTCTCATGAAATAGGTTACTAATCCCAGCAACTTGGGAAGCTGAGGCAGGAGAATAAATTGAACCCAGGAGGTGGAGGTTGCAGTGAGCTAAGATTGCACCACTGAACTCCAGCCTAGGCAACAAAGTAAGACTGTCTCAAAAAAAAAAAAAAATATGTGTAGCACCCCTGGCAACTCTTTTCTTGGTCCTGCTCTTATCATGTGAGATACTTCCCTCCCCCTTGGCCTTCAGGAAACTATGATTGTAAGTTTCCTGAGACCTTCATAGAAGCCAAGTAGATGCCAGCATCATGCTTTCTGTACACCTTGTGAAACTGCTACCCAATTAACCCTCTTTACTTTATAAACTACCCAGTCTCTGGTATTTCTTTTTTATTTCTTTTTAGTAATGTGAGAACAAACTAAAACATTGACCCAAGAGATTTGAAGTGTGGCAACGAGTCCCAGATCAAACCTGATATTGAAGGGTTGGTAATAAGTGTATACAGACTTTGGAACAGTGCTTCTTACCCTAGGCACCACTGACATTTGAAGCTGAATGATTATTGTGATAGGGAGGTTGTCCTGAGCATTATGAGATATTTAGTACACTGCTGGCCTCAAACACCAGATACAAGTGGCATCCCCTTCCTTCCATTATGACAAGCAAAATTTCTCCAGATATTTCCAAATGTACCCTGGGAAACAACTTCTTCCATTTGAGATTGCAGAACACTCTACTGGGACGATACTAAAAAGATATGTCCATTGCAATGGATACTGCAGGTATAAACTAGCAAGAATTCCAACTTTGTTCCACCTTTGTTATAATTTATTTCTGAATTTGGTGTTAAGTTGTTAGGAAATGACTTAATGTGTTATTTCATGATATTGCTCTGATGGAAGCTATTGAGATGAGTTATTTAGGGGCAGACTGCAGGGTTGCTGACTCTATTTTCTTCTGGTCATCTAATACTGAAAGGAGTCTGGACATTTGGATAGGTCCTAATACTGCAGGCATCTGTGTGAAGAGACTTGAGAGGAGACTTCTGTAAGAAGGATACAAATTTCAGCTTCTAATTGACCAAACATTTATCAAAATCCACCCACGGTGAAGACAAAACAAAAAGGCATTCTTTTCCCTCAGATCCTATCCTAGTGGATGGAATTTTCTACATCTTACAAAGAAGGAAAAAAAAAAAAGAGAGATGGTCCTTGGGAGGGACCTAAGGAATCCTGCTTCCCTTGATTATTTTACTTCTCTCAGATCTCAATTCTTCAAGTATTGCTTACAAGAATCATATTATAATAACAAGAGCTACCATTTATTATAGAAGTACAACATTCCAGGTGTTATTGCATTTAATCATGATGGGAATCTTTGAGTTGTATTTTATTACCATTTTATAGATGAAAAACTGAAGACTCAGAGATAAAGTAACTTGAACACATCTGACAGATGGCTCAATCAGGATTTTAACCTAAGCCTGTTTAATTCCAAAACTTTTGCTCAGATCAACCATACAGTCATCCCTTTAAAAATAATGATTTTGAATCTTCACGATATTTGTTATTAATATGCTTTAAGTATTCTTATCTTGCCAAACTGTAATAGTAGATTGTAGAAATCATTTTCTTTTTTTCAAAGGAGAATTTGGAGAGCACGGACCTGAGAATCTGGTAGATAAATGAGTCATGTGACCTGAAGCAGAAAAACTTAACTCAGCACTTGGCAAAGCATATGCAAGTTATTTTTTGTTGTTGAATAAAAGCATTGAGGCCATTTTAGGCTAGAAAAAGACCTATTTTGCTGAGTTCACTGGGAGTCTTAGAAAACACGGGTGTCTTAGTCCATTTTCTGCTGTTATAGCGAAATATCACAAACTAGGTAATTTATTTTAAAAAGAAATTTATTTCTCACAGTTCTACAGAATGAAAAGTCCAAGATCGAGGCCCTTGTAAGATTGGCTATTTAGTGAAGTCTGCATCCTCCAGAAGAAAGGAATGCTGTGTCCTCACATGGCAGGAGACAAAAGGGCAAGAAACCAAATGCTGCGTGAAGCCTCTTTATAAGTGTCTAAATCCTATTCTTGAGGAAGGAGCTTCATGTCCTAATTACCCCTAAAGCCTTCAGCTGTTAGTACTATCACATTGGCGACACCTGAATTTTGAACGGCACACATTTAAACCACAGCAATAGGCTTCCAGTTGCTAGTGCCCTCTTCAAGAAGCTAATGAGAATTTCATACAAAATTAACTTAGGAAAATAGGAAAGAAGCCAGCCCCTTTAAAGTGCACCGAGAAAATCTACTCGGCTTGGAATAATTAATTAATGACTACTTAGTAAATATATTGTCAACCTTGGTTTTGAAAAAGAGACACTTTGTGGAGAAAAGAGAATTTTGAGGAAGTGAGGTGAGTAAAAACTAAAGTCACCTCTCAAAAATAGAAGGCAGTGTGGAATGAACTATAGTCAAGGGGAGGAACAACCTTCAAGTATCACTTTAGTTCACCTTATCAGTCAGTTACCGAGGGCCACCCATGTCCCAGGGGAAGAGCTAGGCACATGGATGGCAATGTGAAGATCTTGATGTTCACTGTAAACATACTCACAGTTTTGTGGGGGCAAAACACAATTTCAATATTATATGGCAAATATTACTGTGACACATTATGGATTAAAAAAATGGTTTTCTTGAGCTGGATGTGGTGGTTCATGCCTGTAATCCCAGCACTTTGGGAGGCCAAGGCAGACAGATCATTTGAGGTCAGGAGTTCAAGACCAGCCTGGCCAACATGGTGAGACCCCTGTCTCTACGAAACATATAAAAATTAGCTAGGTGTGAGGGCATGTGCCTGTAATCCAAGCTACTCGGAGGTTTGAGTCTAGGAGATGGAGGCTGCAGTCAGCTGAGATCGCGTCACTGCACTCCAGCCCGAGTGACAGAGGGAGGCTTGGCCTAAAAAAAAAAAAAAAAAAAAAGAGGGGGAAGGCTTTCTCTCTATTTTCTCTAACCAGTCTGAATCATGGATTCTAAAAAGAATCCACAATTGTTAAGGAAGTTCTAGAGTGGAAATGTAGAACATTGTAAGAATGGAGAAAGTTTCTAGTCACCAATTTTATGAAAAGAAATAAAGGAGTTACGTAAGGACTATAATTCCATAACTCAAATTTGGCCTTAACTCTGGTGATCTTTATATAGTGTTATGCCAATTTAGCACAGGAAGAGCTGATTCTCTTGAGGGAAGGAAAACATCTCAGAATCTAACCTAACTGACTAATGAGAAAATTCTAAAAGACAGTGAGAAGAAAACCATGAAATTTATTATCACTACTTTTATACTATCTTTCAACACTAATTTCTTTATTGCTGTCTTTCAAAATTTATTTTTGCTTTTTCCTAGTCGTAGGCATTAACATGGTCATTGAAAATATTAGGAGATTATGTTCAACTTTGCAGTTAGCCAAGTGTGAAAAGAACCAAGATGAAAAAAAAAATAATATAATGGCATAAATTATTTGGCTGAGAGTTGGTGTCCAATTTTGTCAGGTGGTGATAGCTAGAAAGAAAATCACACAAAGCAACAAACAGAAAAACAGGGTTCAAGAGGGGAGATAAAAGAATTACTAAAAATACAAAAATTAGCTGGGTGTGGTGGCATGCACCTGTAGTCCCAGATACTTGGGAGGCTGAGGCAGCAGGAGAATCACTTGAACCCAGGAGGCAGAGGTTGCAGTGAGCCGAGATTGTGCCACTGCACTCCAGCCTAGGCGACAAGAGCAAAACTCCATCTCAAAAAAAAAAAAAAATTACTTCCATCAAGGAATGGCAATGGGAAGACAACATTGAGGAAAAGTCCACACCTCTTACATGGGCAGGAAGAAAACACACAATAAGTATCTGGATAGAATGAGAAGGTAGAAAGTAGGAGAAAATGATGGGAAGGAAAAAGAAATGAAAGGTGAGAGAAAAGGGAGAGAGGAGGAAAAAGTAGAAATGTGAAAGAAGAGAAAAGGGAAGAAAGAAAAGAGCCTTGAAGTGTGAGTGATTTTCAGAAGCTCTTTCCAGACTATTTTAGGAGCAGTGTGAGCTTTGGAAACAAAAAAGACCGGGATTTTTTCATAGTTCTCTATCTTCTTACATTATTTTAAGTAGTTCTTCTAACCTCCCTGAGCTTCTGTTTCTCATCTATAAAATGTAGATTGCTATTTTGTGGGTTTGTTTTGAGTACTAAAGAAAATGTATGCAATGAGCTGAGTACCTTGCCAAACACTTAAAAAATGGCAGCTGCTTTCATTATTGCTATTTTTCATTGAAACTTAGTCGTGCACTATGTTTTTTGACAATTAACTTCACATGTCTATTATTCTTGATCTTACCTTTTAGACAGTCCATTCTACATTATGTTGCTACCAATAAACAACTTAAAAATCTGAGAGGCTTAAATTACATTCTACTTTGTGAGTATTTTATATCAGCAATGTCCCTGCTCTAATTCATTCATGGTAGCAGGAAAGTTGTACACTACCTCTTAAACACCTTCCCAAGAAGTGACACTCATCACTGCTGCTCACATATC